TTTTTTTTGGCCAAGTTTGAACTTTTATTATTTACTTACGTGCCATATATAAGAAACATAGCTGGGTGGTAGTGGTGCATGCCTTTAATCCCAGCACTCAGGAGGCAAAGGCAGGTGTATCTCTGTTTGAGGCCAGCCCCATCTACAAAGCGAGTTTCAGGACAGCCAGGAATACAGAGAGAAACCCTGTCTCTTTTTAAAAAAAAAAAAAAGCAAAAAAAAACCCAAATAAATAATAATAATAATAATAAAGAAATGTATATGTCACTTGAAAAAATTTGAAGTTTAAGAGGAGGAAATAGAGAGTCCCTCTAACCTACTACTCAGGAATCTCTTCTCTTAGCGTTTGTAGTATTTTATGTTATTATACAGAACTGAATTAAAGTTACACTAGGTATTTGATGCTTTTTTTTTTTTTGCAGGGGGCAGGGTTTTATGTAGCCCATTATAGTCTCAGACTCACTGTGCAGTAAGGCTGGCCTTGATGAGTTCCTTTTCTCTTCTGATTCCACCTTCCAGGTGTTAAGATTACAAGCCTGTGTTATCATGCCTGGCTGAGGTTTTTTGTTGTGATGCTAGTAGTGGTAGTTTTTTTGTTTGTTTTTGCTAGACTCTTTGTAGCTTAAAGTTGGCTTCTAAATCATGATCATTCTGCCTCAGCTCTTGGCTTCTCAAATTCTGGGATTACAGGCATGTGTTACATGCCTGGTTATTGTCCTTTTGTTTGTTTGTTTATTTTTATTTATTTATTTATTTTGAGGCAGGAATTCTCTGTGTAACCCTACTGTCCTGGAGGCTATTATCTTTTTTTTTTTTTTTTTGGTTTTTGTTTGTTTTGTTTTTTTTTTTGTTTTTCGAGACAGGGTTTCTCTGTAGTTTTGTGCCTTTCCTGGAACTCACTTTGTAGACCAGGCTGGCCTCGAACTCACAGAGATCCTCCTGCCTCTGCCTCCCGAGTGCTGGGATTAAAGGCGTGCGCCACCACCGCCCCCGGCTTTTTTTTGGTTTTTCAAGACAGAGTTTCTCTGTGTAGTTTTGGTGCCTGTCCTGGATCTCGCTCTGTAGACCAGGCTGGCCTCGGAACTCACAGAGATCCACCTGGCTCTGCCTCCTGAGTGCTGGGATTAAAGGCGTGCGCCACCGCCGCCCAGCTGCTATTGTCTATTTTTAACAGCAGTATGTGATAGCGCTTTCAGATTACCATTGTCCGTTGCCTGCTTGCTGACTTGGTAAGAATGAAAAGTTGCAGCTATCATCCAGAACACTGTCTAGTCTGTTCTGGCAAGGCTGCTGTAATTCAGGAGGTTACTTTGTAGGTAGATACTTGAGGCCCTTGTGGTTGCCTTCAGTACACTCTTCTGGGGCAGCCTGAGGGAGAGGGTGCATTTCTGAAGCCAAAAGTGAGGGCAGATTTTTGCTTCTGAATTTCAGGTATCCTGTGGTCTGAAGCTGTCTTCCTTGAGGCAAGGCCCCAGAGAAAGACCAAGAGTGTGGATGCCCTGAAGAAATGTGAACATGATCCCCATGTGCTTTTAGCTGTGGCTAAGTGAGTAGTAGTTCTTTTGTGGTTGCTTATCCTTGGTGTCCTGGTGTCCTTTTGCCCGTATCTTTGCCTGGCTATGCTGACTTTGTCTGCAGGATGAGAGGCTTGGGCCTCAGCTGCCAGAACTCCTGCTTTAGTCTTCTGGGCAGCATTCTGTTGGTAGAGGCCTTGAGGTACTGTCTAGACATCTGTCTGGTTACCCCCCTTTTCTCAGGCCTCCTGGGTTTTTTGGCTTTTTCTCAGCCCCAGGCTTCTGATGGGGCTGTTCTCTTTGTTTCAGTACCAAATGGGTCCTGGCATACATGCTGGACAGATTTGTTGATATTGATCCACCCAGAATTTAAGTATTAAGCAAAGCCCCTTTGAAGGGGCTTCAACCAAGTTTTTACTTTGATTGTGTTGCAGAACTCAGACCCTTTCAGCTGGTCCTGGGAGTAACCCTGACTGTAATCCATTGTCTTGGAGTGTAGGAGTTATTAGCCATGGGTCATCTACAATGTCATCAAGTGATCTCTTATCACCTCCCAGCACAGGATTGTGCCACTGTTGGTGGTGATGGAGGCAGAGCCTTAGAACCAGTTTGGTTCTGTTTGAGTGGCATTGAGTGCTCAGGGTCTGGTGCAGCCTGCCTTCACATTGCTACCTGGGCACCTGTGGCCCTAGAGATGAGGGAGGCATTAGGCCCAGGCTTCCTACCCTGGGCTTCCTTTTCCCAGAGTAAATTCTGTATGCCCTCAGACAGAGCAGCCATAAACCTCACAAAAGGCTTTGGTTAAAGTCAATAAGTCACTCCTTGCTGTTCCAAAGCCGATGATCCATGTGCCCACTATCTTGAGTTTATGCTCTTTAAATCACAGTTTATCTAACACCAAGCAATTAAGAGCACTACATGGCTTAAAAAACAATCAAGTTATCAGCATGAAATTACTCCATTTGGTACCTGAGAACGATCCAAACAGCTGCCTGCAGTGGAAAGGGTTAGCTATGCACCAGCTGCCACACTAAGGGAGGGAGGGTGAATACAGCCCAAGTCCTGGGCCTGCCAAAGTGTTCCCACAGCATGCGATACCATCTTTCCCATTGTTCATCCTGCTATCCTACACTAACTACCAGTTGGGGAGAGTGCCCATGGAGACCCTAAGTTGGTTCCTGTCCTTCATTTCCTTTCCTTCCTTTCTTAATTTTGGTTTCTCGAGATAGGGTTTTTCTTTTTAGCCCTGGTTGTCCTAGAACTCTCTCTCTCTGTGTGTAGACTAGGCTACCCTTGAATTCAGGATCTGCCTGCCTCTGCCTTCCAAGTGCTGAGATTAAAGGCATGTGCTACCACAGCACCCACTTCTAAGTTGGTTTCTAACAGTCCAGTTTCTTGGCTTCCTGCATGGCTTCTCTTCAGCCTGCTTTTCATGTGTGAGTATCAGGTACAACAGTCATATGTGCTGTGGTCTGAGTGCCATGGAGCTGCAACTCCAGTGGGCTCAGGTCCCCAGAGCTGACCTTTGGAAACCTATCTTTGTGTTTGCTTCTGTTTCTACAAGGGGCTAGACAAAGCGGCATAGTCCAGGGTTGGTATGTTATTGAGGAGCAGTCTGAAATTTCTGGTTTTTATAATCAGCTTTAATGTTTGTCAGAGTTAGTTTCATACTGTATTTGATCGGGGGGCGGGGGGGGGGGTGTGATAGTTTTAAGAAGTTAAGATCTTAGCCAGGAGGTGGTAGCACATGCCTTTAATCCCAACACTTGGGAGGCAGAGGCAGGTGGATCTCAGTGAGTTCTAGGCCAGCTTGCTCTACAAAGTGAGTTCCAGGACAGCCAGGACTGTTACGCAGAGAAACCCTGTCTTGAAAAACCAGAAAAAAAAGAAGAAGAAGAAGAAGAAGAAGAAGAAGAAGAAGAAGAAGAAGAAGAAGAAGAAGTAGAAGAAGTAGAAGTAGTTAAAAATCTTGCTTTATGTGTGTGGTGTAAATGTTATAAAAAGCAGTGGGGGTCAGTGAAGGATCTGGAAACGACCTCCAGGTATCCTTGCACCATGACTCAGACCTGTATGTAACACATGCCTAGGCTTGCTGGTCTCACCAGGAGCAAGATAGAGCTGATGACTCCCAAGCCCAGCAGGGCACTATCTTATGCCCCTTGCTCTAAGTACTTGTCCCATAACAGGCTGTTCTGGAGTGAACGAAAGATCACCAAGGCACGGGAGTGGTTCCATCGCACTGTGATGATTGACTCAGATCTGGGAGATGCCTGGGCCTTCTTCTACAAATTTGAACTTCAGCATGGCACTGAGGTGAGGCTACACTAGAATACCAGTGAGCAGTAATATTCTGCCTGTTCTCTAGCTACTTCTGAGACAATAGAAAGCTCCATCCAGCCCATGGGGAAGGGAATTAGGAAGTGGCCAGGACCAGCAGCCCATTCCCAGTTGAGGTTTGTTAGAGCCATGCTCATAAGGCAAGGGTGTCCAGGGTGTCCTGGAAGTAGTAGCCAGACCATGTTGAATCCAGGAAGTTCCTAGTTCAGAGATGGTGCACCTGGCAACTTGTGGGATCCAGAGGTAGGGAGTCTGACACAGGTCAACACATAGATGCACTCACTGACTTGGATGCCATGTTCCCAAGAGGAGGGGATGGCTTGAAATCTGCCGGGGCCAGATCTGCAAGGGGACAGGCAAGGTTCAGGGGTGTACCTAACAAGAAACCCTACCTACAGTACCCTTTGGTCTCCCCAGGAGCAACAGGAAGAGGTGAGGAAGCGCTGTGAGAATGCAGAGCCCCGGCATGGAGAGCTGTGGTGTGCTGTGTCCAAGGATATCACCAACTGGCAGAGAAAGATTGGGGAAATACTAGTGCTGGTAGCTGCCCGTATTAAAAACACCTTCTGATCGCTGCGGTGGAGGACAGGGCACTTTGGGGCAGCACATGGACAATGAACACAAAGCCTACACTGTGTATTTTTCATTCATTAAAGATTTTTATAGAGTTACGTTGGGGTTAGGGTGTCTTTTTTCTCTCTCTCTCTCTTTCCTTCCTTCCTTCCTTCCTTCCTTCCTTCCTTCCTTCCTTCCTTCCTTCCTTCCTTCCTCCCTTCCTCCCTTCCTCCCTTCCTCCCTTCCTCCCTTCCTCTCTTCCTCTCTTTCTCTTTCTTCCTTCCTTCCTTCCTTCCTTTCTTCCTTCCTTTCTTCTTTCTTCTTTCTTTCTTTCTTCCTTTCTTTCTTTCTTCCTTTCTTCCTTTCTTCCTTTCTTCCTTTCTTCCTTCCTTCCTTCCTTTCTTCCTTTCTTCCTTTCTTTCTTCCTTCCTTCCTTTCTTTCTTTCTTTCTTTCTTTCTTTCTTTCTTTCTTTCTTTCTTTCTTTCTTTCTTTCTTCTTCTTCCTTCCTTCCTTCCTTCCTTCCTTCCTTCCTTCCTTCCTTCCTTCCTTCCTTCCTTCCTTTCTTTCTTTCTTTTCTTTCTTTCTTTCTTCCTTTCTTCCTTTCTTTCTTCCTTCCTTCCTTCCTTCCTTCCTTCCTTCCTTCCTTCCTTCCTTCCTTCCTTTCTTTCTTTCTTTCTTCCTTTCTTTCCTTTCTTTCCTTTCTTTCCTTCTTTCCTTCCTGTTTTGTCTTTGGCTCCTATTCCCTTGAGTGGTGGTCAAGACCAGTCTGGTTTGAATGTAGCCTCCTGCAAGTGCTTGTATGCTCCAGAAAGAAGCATAGTCGGGGTACCAAGGGCTTGCGAAGATTTTATGAAGAAGGTCTTGGGAGTACAGGCTATATATATAGAATGGGGGTTCTGTCACAGGTCTATGATACAAGAGGCTGAAGGTCACATGGGAACCGAGCTGTAAAAGATTGAAAGGCTTATAGAAAGCCCCCATTGTTCTGTAGGCATCTGAAGTAAAAACAAACAAAAAAGCTCAGCAGGCATCTTTGCTTGCCTTGGAAGGTATTAGCTCACTTTTCCTGTGGCTCTAGGAACCTTAATAGTCAAGAGGACAGGAGGAAGACTTGCTGATTGGTTGATACTTGACAGGTCACTTAGGTGCTGGCTTGGAGAAGTACTTCCTGCTCCTGTCCTGAGGAATATCTAGAACTCCTTTGGATATTTCCATAGAGAAAATCCGTGGGGTTCCCCTATGATGAGGGACCATACCCAGTGGTTCCATTACAGATGGAAAGGGAAAGGACTTGACTACAGCACCAGGCTGTTGGTAGTTTCTGCTCCTTTTGACTGTTCCTGTCTCTTAAACTGAGTGCAGTGGGCCAGTTACAGAAGAGTATACCTGGATAAGGTTTCCTGTAAGGCTGTGGAAAAGTTTGGTGAGCCTGTAATATCCTAGTTATTTTTCCTCTCTGTGGAAATGGAGGTGTTTTTTTTTGTTGTTGTTGACCACCTCAGCAACTCCTTATGTATCACATTATTTATTGGGTGAACATATGCCACAGCATACTTGTGGAGGTCAGAGGACAACTTATATTATATTGGCCCCTGGGACCAAACTCAGGTTGTCAAGACTTGGCAACAAGTACCTTAACCTGCTGGGCCATCTCACCAGCCCACACCATTATTGCTTTTCTTCAGCTGGAAGTTGAGCTTTGCTTAGCAGGAGATTAACTTGTGCTAGAGCAAAACATCAACCCTGGGACTGGGCCTCCTATTCCTGGATAACCCAAGGTCTGGAGGGATGAAGTGGGGCCAGCAGTAGAAGTCTGGGAAGTCCCAAGTTCCAGACCTGCTGAGACAGGGTCTGTCTGGATATGGATTGGGGACTGGTGGCTGGCCCACCTATCAGGAGAGACTATGCTCTCTGCCCATTGAGGCAGAGCGCGGGGTCTCCATGGGGCTGGAGACTCAATCCAAGACCCAGAGCAGCCCTGGATCTGCTGCAAACAGGCAGCTGCTGTGCTCCAGGATCAAGTTAATTGAAGTGACTGGAGGAGAGGGTGGGGAGGGGTTAGGGGCAGGGCTGACTTACTGGACTTTCCTTCCCTCCCGTGTGGCTCCCTCCCTTCATAGCTGGAGGAGCCAACTTCAAACGCCTCTCCACCTGCCCCCCCAGCTCTCACCAGGGAGGCCCCATCAGCCGATAGAGGACCTGGTGTGACTGCCAATTGATTACTTCATTGGCAACCCAAAGACCCAGAGGACCCAGGATCATGTGTGTGGCCTGCTAGAGGGGAATAAGGGAAGGCCAGACCTTGAGAGGCCTATGGTAAGCAGTTGGGGCCTGGGGGAGGGGGCTGGCCTGGGCCAAGAATCTGTGCATGGCCACAACCCAGGGGAGACACTTTCCCTATGCCTCATAGAAACCCCAGATGTTTGTGACGGTACCCAGTAAAATGACCATTGTTGGTGCTGCTGGACTTCCCAGAACCCTTTCCTCTCGTGCTGGGTTAAGCCTGAGTTGTTAGGGACTCCCTGGCAGCCAACCTGTTCCATATTGGTGCTGGATGCCCCTCTAGCAGTCTCATTGGCTGAATTAGCTCTTATTCTTAATGTGGTTTGATGGGTTAATTCTTGGCACCCTTTCCAAATGTTGTTCCAAATGACCTTCAAGACTTTTCAAGAGTGCTACTACATTTGTTCTTCAGTTATTGGTGCTGGTATCCCAGGCTGGAGCCCCTACCCCCCACCCACTTCTGTGTGGGAGTTTGTGGTATGCTCAGTTCAGCTCTCGTGCCAGGGCTGGGAAGCTGAGTCCTGTCGTTTCGCTAGGTTCACAAGATTAATTTTTGAGCCCAAGTAAGCTGGGGACCTAGAGGCAGGTTTGGAAACTGCTCTATTTGGAGGAGCTGGGGTCTGAGGACCTTAGCTGTCTTCCTAATGTGTGAGCTTTTCCCCCAGCACCAGTCCTTTCCACTTGGGGTGGGAGGAAGTTTGTTGGCAGGCTTTGCTTGAGGCTTTGCTTCTGCTGTCTCTAGGCCTTCCCTCCAGCCTTCCCCTTCCATTGGGGGTTTTGGAGCTCTGAGCCAGTGTTTCTGCCATAGTTGGGTTTGTTGTTGTTGTTTGTTTTGGTTTTCTTGGGGGGTAGGGGTTGGTTCCTGTGGCTGGTTGTAGCAGAACTATTTGAGGGAGAGATTGGAGTTCCCATACTGCATGAGAGCACAGTGGTTCTACCCCCAGATCCCATCTTGCTCACGCAAAGAGCATGAGATGTATGTGTGAGAGAGAACATCCAATGTCAGGGGATGGGGATGGGCTATGAATGGTAGGTATGGGTCTGAGCATGGTCAGGGGTGAGGCTGTACTGAGGCTGTACTCACTTCTTGCTGTACCCCTCCCTATCCACTCCCTGTGCAAGGCCAGTGAGCCCTTGTACATCCATTGTACTCTAGGTGCTAACTTTTCTGCCTTTCCAGTGTAGACCATAGTGCCACCCCTTGTCTGTGGTACCTGTTCTCTGTCTCCTTCCTAGTCCTTCAGGGGCTCAGTGAAAGTACTTCACCATGCCCCACTACATACCCCACAAATGTTCACAGAACATGGTACTGTTTGGTATTTAAGTCTCTTTTCCCTTCTCTAGGACTGCCAGGGCTTATCATAAGCCATACCCAGAGTCTGATGAAATTTTCGATCCTATCATCTCACAGATGATGGGGCACCCTTTGTGGTGACTCCAAGTGTCTGTGGGGCCACTCCTTGTGCTGCTGGTAGGCTTAGGTTCTCAACCCCAACCTGATGTCCTCTCCAGATGCCCCTCAAGCCCACTCTCTACGTATTACCACTGCTGCTGGCATTTCTTGTGTCTGCTCTGGGCTGGGCCGGGTCCCAGTCCTGCAGTGTCCAGGAGGTACTCCGCCATTACCAAGCTGTCATCTTCCAGGACTTGCAGGCTGCCATGCAGTGGGCTGGGCTGGGAGCCCAGCATACAGAGCCTGGGTCCCGACACCACCACTTCGTTCAGAAAAACCTGACTGGAGCTGGTGGAGGTCAGGGACAACCAGGGGCCTCCTGTGATGCCCAGAAGGTATGGGGAGGTACCCCCACTTAGACCTATCTGTTCCCTCCTCAGGTCCCCCCCCCCACCCCCTGTCCTGGCTTTCCTCCCTTTTCATCTCAGGAGCGTAGCATCCTACTGTCTATCGAGTCCCTGGGTCAGACCCTTCTTGGGAGCATGGCCGGAGTTCCCCACAATGCATTAGAGAAAGCGGCATGGACAGTGGCGGTGCGCACCAAGGCCGTGATGCGCAGACACTGCCGGACATCCACCAGGGTATGTGTCCTCAGTCACCCTTCCCAAAGGACTTCAGCACCAGTGGCCTGTGGCTTTGGGCTCAAGTAGGGCCAGTTGGCCTGGCTGCCACCTGCTTCCTACAGGGCTAAGCATGAGCTTTGAGACAAGGGCAAGGGTGAGGATCTGTATGCACTCACTCACAGCTGGTCCCTACTAGCAGATCCTGCAGCCCAAGAAGCGTCCAGTGCAGCAGCGGAGGCGGCTCCTGCTACGTGCCTTATACACTGTCGCCACCTGCTGGGAGAAGCTCTTTGCGCTGAGTGCCATGACCACCAGAGAATTCTAGCACTGCCCCTACCTCTCACAGAAGACTGGAAGCAAACTGGTTCATGTTTTGACAGTGCCCCCTCTCTCAGCTCAGACTACCTGCACTCAAAGGCCCAGGATGTGGAGAAGAGAGCACCTTCCTTCATGACACCCAGTGAGGCCCCAATAAATGGAGCTAGTGATATGGCCTGATTCTTCTACCTTTGCCTGACTGGTTATGGGCCCTGGACCACCCAGGGATTTCCTCCTTGGGACCTCACACCTGAGCAACGGCAGTAGTTGTAGTTCCCAGCCTCATACAGCAGGGGGCGTGGGTGGGACATTGGACCTGTCCTCAAGTAGTGTCCAAGGCAGAGAAGCCCCCTGCCCCCACCCCACAACCTGGTTAGGGATTTTAAAACGTCATGCATCCGTCCTGCCCAACTCTGGACCGGAGGAGAGGGTGGAAATGGAGAGGAGGGGAAGGCTGAGCTTGGTGGATTCAGAGCAAAACAACCGGATAAAGGAAACAGGACTTAGAGGAAGCCAACCTTGCTGCCCTGGCCACAAACTAGACCAGGCCATTTCCTGCTGCCCCTGGGGGATGGGCAGGGTAGGGTGGGGGACAACTTCACAGACTGCCCCAGACTTGTCTGTTGAACTAACTAGACTGGCCCCAGTACCTACATAAGCCTAGGTGTCTGCTCTTCAATGATTCTAGCCCTGAACAGAAAAGAAGCAATGTCCCCCCAGGCTCCTTGCCTCATAATAGAATGTGGAGCCTAAGAGCCTCAAGAATACCTTGCTCTGTGTCTGTCAGACAGGCAAACAAGAGAACAAAAAGGTAGTGGTAGGTACAAGAGCAAGAAATAGCCCAGAAGTTCTTCGTGCCTCTATTCCTTGGTGCACATGCGGTCTGCCCAATGGGACCTTTTGTTTCTTCTCACAGTTGAGGAAGCTGAGACATGGAGAGGATATAGGACCTTCCTTAATTACACAGTCAAGTACTAGAAGAACTGGAATCAGATTTGGACCCAGAGTATGATGTGTAGAAGGGAAATGGAACTTTCTAGATATCAGTATGCATTTAAATAATCTATGATTCAGATTTCTAATGGTCTTACAAGCCACCTTGGAGCACAAACAGGACATTTTGGTTCTCCATGGGGTAGGAGGCAGTATGGAAAAGTACAAGGTGGGGGTGTGCCAGAGAGGGCCTAAGTACACAGACCTTCAGCAAAGCCAGGCCTAAAATGATTCTCATTCTCTCTGTATGTATGTATGTATGTATGTATGTATGTATGTATGTGTGACAGCTAGTGTGAGAGGATGAGGGGAAGCCTGGGTCATTGCAAGATCCTGGCCCTAGGGCCTGAATGGGTAGTCATCTTGTACCAGGAAATACCGATGGAGGAGAGAGGTGGATGGCTATGGACCTGAACTGATGACTTATATTGGTGAGCTCTATTGGGCATGCTAGGGTATAGCCAATGTCCCAGTGCAGAGAAAAAGGTCCAATTTTGTTGAAATATAAGCCATAGGGCAGCAGTACTTGATTAAAGAGTGATCAAGTGAGATCTGGAGAAAGTAACAGTCTGGGCACTGAGCTGAAAGAGGGCAGTATGGACAGCCCACCTTGGAGATACCCATGGACCCATTTTGCAAAGCATTCTGTACTTACACTTGTCCCAACTTTAGATCCTACTGGGAAATCACTTGCGACCCAGTGAGCATCCCACAAATACTGCCCATTTTGCTGTCCTGTCCTACTGTTTAGAGCAATCAGGCTGGGGAGGTAGGCAACAGAGTGTCCTGATTCTCAATTTCTTCTCTTCAACTGAGGAAAGATCAAACAAACCACAGCCTCCTGGGACTGGAGGTGAAGTAGAAGCCTCAAGAGTTTCAGGGAATATATGTTGATGCTTAAGCCCTGTATCAGATTATACTTTTAAAGACCACCCGAATTCTGCACCCATGGCTCTCTGCAGGAGCCCTGGGAACTCAGCCTGTGGTTATCAACCCACTAGAATGACTGTCCTCTTGCAGGACAAGGACAGGTACAGAGCCCTCAGGATCAGAGTGGAAGGATCCTAGGTCTTTTACACTTAGCCCAGGGACCTAAATGGAGGTTCCCAGGGCTTCTTTGTAGTTGAGGACAGGGCATATCCTCCTCATGCACACACCTAACATAGCTCAGCACAGATACTGTCCCACAGTTGCTTTTCTGCTGAGCAGCTAGTACAGACCTTGGAGATGCTGAGACATGGAGCTGGAGACTACTGGTATTGTCTTATCCCACACAAGCCTTTTCAGGGCTTGACTTTGCAGGGAGGTGGGGCTCTGGCACAGAAGAAAGGACTGTGAGGATCACAGATGGGACCCCCCCACCCCCCACCCGCCCCAAGGCACTGGCCAGGCCTGTGCAATTTCCTGCAGCCCAGGAACCAGGCCTCCATATGTAATCCTGGAAGACAGACTGTCAGGCTTTGAAGGGAGGCTGGGTACCACGGCCTCCCACGACTAGGAGCCTTTGAAAGAACATCTGGAACTTGGGCAACAGCTATGGATGACAAGCTAGTCCTTTGGTTTGCAAATCCCAAAGTTAATCTTGACTTTGCTACTTATGTGTTAACAACCCTGCTCCACCTCCCATGATGCAGCAGAGAGTGAGGGCTGTAGCCTCTTCTGTGTTATGACAGTGCTTCCCTATCCTGCCACCTACCACACTAGCCTAGGAGTGTGGGAGAGCTGAGTAAAGGGAGCAATAGGAATAGGCATGTCTTTTTTTGTGCCCTGTGAGCACAGAGCCACAGCTAAGCATGCAGAGCTCTGAACTCAGCTACATTCCTGAAGTTGGGCTCACTTCGGCAGCACATATGCTAAAAGTGGAATGATACAGAGAAGATTAGCATGACCACTGTGCAAGGATGGCACACATATTCGTGAAGCGTTCCATATTTTCTCTAGTTAACAGCTCTGTATCACACACAAACCTTGAATGGGAGACAGTGAGTAGGCCCAGGCTTGGATCAAGTTCATCTTTCTTAGGCCAGTCCATTGGTGGATATCACACCAGCACTGTGAAATCCTGTAGTAGATGTAAAGGGAGGTTCAGCTAAACAAAACTAAACTAAAAATTAAATAAAAACAAATAAACAACTGGGTTCCTAAAAAGGTTTGGGCAGCACTATGGACACAGCTGTGGAGGAGAAGGAAATATCTGTTCCCAGACCTGCAGAGTACCTGGCCTTGTGGACTTGTGGGCACTAGGCCCTTGCAAGACCTGCAGGTGTGCAAGAAGGCTGCTTGCTTCAGCTGTGGCTAACTGGAAATAAACAAGGCCCTCTACTCCAGGAAGCACATATTACTGGGAAGTGGGTGGGGGTGGGGAGAAGAGTGAGGCAGGTGTTGAGGCCTATTGTCCCTGCCAGAGGCCTTCAGGACCCTGGGGGTGGGGGAAAGGGACAGTCCCCATCCTGCCCCCTCCTTGGGAAGACTTAGCTTTGTAAACACAGAAAACACGTGCACACACACACAGCATACCCTGCTCCACTAGAATCTGGAATAACCAGCAAAGAGGTAACACCTGCTATGGGAAGTGAGTCCTTGTTTGAGTGGAAATGAGAAGGTCAGGCCCTTGGCAGCAGTGCAGTGCCTGTTGTGGGGGAAGCGAGACATCCTGGGGTACTAGCTCATGGGTCCCTTGCTGAGTTGATATTTCTGCTGCTGTCTGTGGAGGAGACATCAGGCTGATGTACCCTGGGAAGCACTAGCTAGGCCTTGTTGCATACCAGTCCAGTTGTGACAGTTTGTGGCTCAAGAGAGAGGCAGCCAGGGCTCACCAGGTGAGCAGGCTCTGTCCTTGGACTGCCCCTGGCGCCCCCTACCCGGCACAAGGCCAGGGGTCAGGGCTGCAGAGCAAGATAAGCCCAGTTTCCTGCACTTAGTCCCAGAGCTGTGACTCCCAACACTTCCTGTTTTTTGGAGGGCAGACAGGGGTGTGGGAGATTGGGCAAGGTGGTGGGGGCTGGGGTCATGAGACAGAGGGTGGGGTTACAGGGAAGGGGGCTATAGGAGAGGGGATGAAGTCATGGAGGGCAGGGCATAGATACAGGGTGAGGTAGAAGAGTGGGAGCAGATTCTTGGGAGATTGGGTAAAGTTATAGAGGCCAGGGTTATGGCAACAGTGGGAGCCTGAGTTGGGCACAAAGTGGAGCTGTGGGTAGCCAAAACCAAAAGGAGTGAAGCCATGAGTTGGGGTTCTGGGAAACCTGTGAGTTCTTGGGGAAAGATCCCTGGGAGCAGGAGCCAAGAGACCAGAAGAGCACTTACTGCTCTTCCAAATGGACCTAGTATGCACTTAGGCCCTTCCTTTCCCAGATCCTCAGAGACAACTACCCTCTATGAACACTCTTCTCTCCTTGGTTAATTCCCTTCCAATCTTGGAGCAGAAGTTTTGTAGGCTTGGTAGTAGTTGACAAAACCCTGCATAATCTTAGTTTGGAGCCAGGCATGGTGGTACATGCTCTTAATCCCATCACTTGGGAGACAGACACTGGCAGATCTTTGTGAGTTTGAGGTCAACTTGGTCTATACAGGATGTTCCAAAACAGCCAGGGTGACAGGGAGATACTGTCTGAAAACAAACAAACAAACAAATTTGAAAAGAAAAAAAAGAATCAGGTGCAGCTGCTATAGCACATGGGTGTGTGGTTCTTAACCTGTTGTTCAGACATTGTCGTTAGAAATATAAATTTAAGAAATTTTATATTGTGTTCACTTGTCTTGTTGGCCTGTAAATAACTGAAACCTCAAAAAGTGAATCTGAGGGCTGGAGAGCTGGTTCAGTGGTTAAGAGCACTTACTGCTCTTCCAAAGGACTCAAGTTTGATTCCAAATACTCATTTTAGGTGGCTCATAACTGCCTGTTACTCCAGTTCCAGGGGATCTGACATGTCTGGCCTCTGTGGACACCCACATACATGTGGTATATATTCATACACACACACACACACACACACACACACACACACACACACACACACACACACACACGCTGGGCATGGTGATGCACACCTTTAATCACAGTGCTCAGGAGGGAGAGATAGATCACTGAGATTGAGACTGCCTAGTCTATATAGCCAGTTTCAGGCCAGTCAGGGATAGTTTCAAAGCAAGCAAGCAAACACTCCCACCCCAAAGACTATC